GAGGATGAATCAGATGGATTGGTTACTTTTTTATTAATGAATGGCAGTTTTGAAAATTAGATTCTGCATGTCTGTTACCAGTTTGAAGTTCAATTTAAAACTGAGGAACTTCCTTAAATTATAAATAAAATATCCTCATGTAAGAAAATGTAACTATCTACATTTTACACTAAGTAATAAAAAACAAAAATACTTTACTGTGTAAAACTCGACCCCTGGTTTATTTATCTGTTGCTGTGTGAAAATGGGAAATTTGGCCAGAGCGAGCATGACATCTCTTAGGCAAGCTTTCTTGTTATTTCTTGTCTTCAGGAATAGTTCTCAAGGTTTGAAGGACATTGAAAAGCTCTTTGAATATTGGCTGCCTCTTGTTCTGTTCTCTGTCAAGATGATCCCACACTGCTTCATTTAATGATGAGGTCTGGGATCTGGGGAGGCCAGTCCATGACTACTGATGTTCCATTGTGTCTTTTCTATCCAGGTGTGCTTTTCATGCACTGGCAGTGTTTTTGTACAGTGGCGCCCAGAGACAAAGCACGTACAAACTCCAAAACACAACGGAAGTGCTTCAGGACGCTAGGGTCAGTGTTGAGCTTTTGTTACCTATAGTGGCTACACAATTAATTATTTGAATATATATGAGTGTGGTTGTTCTATCCTTGCAGGTGTTTTCCACCAGTGTTTGCAACAAACTTGCTGTTTATGTTGCAAATCGAGCTCAACACTGATCCTAGCGTCCTGGAGCACTTCCGTTGTGTTTTGGAATTTGTACGTGCTTCGGAGTTTGTACGTGTTTTGGAGTTTGTGCGTGCTTCGGAGTTTGTACGTGTTTTGGAGTTTGTACTTGCTTTGTCTCTAGCGGGCCACTATATCTTCTCTTTGATGCCCTTTCTTAAGAATGGCTTCTTGACACTGAGACTATTTCTGATGAGGCTTCAGTGAATAGTATCAACTGATGGGTCAGATGCATCTTTCAGCTCCTGTGTCATGTCTTTGCTGGATTTTCCACCTTATTTCTTAAGGACATGACTGTCAGAAAATTTTCATTCGTTATAGAAAAACTTGGTTGTTGTTTTAATTTTGCTTATCTGTCCTCCGCACAGTTTCCTCAATCTTTTAAGGACAGAATACACACAATGCCACTAGATGTAAATTTTTCAGCTAACATGTTTCACTAATAATTCTAGCTCCTTGGAAGCAAAATACAAAGAAATGAGGGGCGTCAAGACTTTTGCATAGTACCATATCACTAATTATACACCTATTATATTTTGACTTGTCTCCAGAGCAGTTTTTGTATTTTTGTTCAAGTCAAAGTCCCACCTGTAAGACAAACAGAATTTCCATGCACTTTGGCTGTTCACTTTTTATTTAGATGATTTTTGTATGTTTCTATGACATATGAAGAACAATCTAAATAATTTCAAAAACTTTTATTGCCAAATAAATAAAACCCAAACTTTTGGCCGCAACTGTAGAAAAGATAAAAGATGAGAGGAATATATCTGTACAGTAGGCATTTTTATTTAAGCTGATTATATTTTTCCCTTGACTTAAAGGTTCATCATCAGGAGGTAAACAGGAAGCCAGATCAGACGAAAAAGTATGAATAATGCATAAAAGAAGTCATTAAAAACTAAGTTGATTTAAATGGATTTCTCTGGGATTTGAGGTGGGTTGAGCTGTGCAAAAGCTGCTAATCAGTGGCTGAACCCAACCATGTCAACAGTGAAAAAAGAGAATGAACAAGCTGCTATCTAATCTAAATAACTGCAGTAGGTCTGTCATCACCATCTTTGACCTCATCGAAATCCCAGGAAATACTCTGAGTTTACAGTTTTACCATTCTGCTGAATTCACCGATTAACGATGAAACAGCAAAACTCTTTTCTTTCTGTTAAACCAACCGTGAAAGGCTGGATGTAGAAGCGGGTGGCGCTGAGGTCCCAGCATAAACCGCATCTCACATTATAAAGGCTGTAGTTATGATACCAGGATGTTGATGAGATAATTTCCAGAACATGTTTTTATGAAATGTCTGTGACCAGTTTGTCCTTCCGTACCAGCCAGAAGTTTCCATCTCATATATAACCGGAGATGTGTTGCCCACACTTGTTCTGTGACCAATGGAGAATGATTGCAGAAATGATTCCTGACTTGTGCTGTTACGTAAAAACCATCAGCGTGAGAGGAGCAAAGACACACCTGCAGCCCCGCAATCCATTAGTGTCTGACATTCAAGAGAGAACTTTTCTGCAGACTGCTGTTGATTCATGGGAAGAAAATGAATCACTCTTTGTCGCCTCTCTTTTCTTCTTCTTTATTTTTATTTATTATTCCTGCGTGGGCTCTCTCCACATACTCCAGCTTTCTCCCATAGTTCAAACACATACACGTTAGGTTAATGAGTGATTTTAAAGTGGCTCTGGGTATGACGCAGATTATAGTGTATAGAAATAATGCACTGTGCTATATGGATATATGTAAAAACAAAAAACCCAATGCACGGTAAAAAAAACAAAAAAACACTTGAGGTGCTTAGTGAGATTTATTGCACTATATTAATGCCAGTATATGTACATTTACCTTCTCACAAATTGTCCAAAGTTGCACACAGGGGTTAATGGGTAAAGATAGTGACAATTTGTGAAAAGCAAAACAACCCCCCTCCAAAAAAATGCATTTTAAATGTGGGAGTGCAGGTAGATTAACAATTACAGAAACATAAAACATCATTTTGTTAATTACCAGTATTATAAATTAGAGGAGCGGTAGCATTAGCCTTACATTGGGTGGTGGCTTAAAAAATGTTTTAAGCACTGTATGTGACTGAAGACCAAATTACAAAGACTTCTTTATTTCCCCTTCCTTTCTATGCTTACCTCTCACATCCCTTATCTGTTATATCCCTTATATTTGTTTAGTTAACATTGGCTTCCCTTGCTCGTTGTCTGGGGTCAAACAAAAACTGCTACTAACAATTGCAAATTTAATCCTCGGAGTTCCTTTCGGTGTTCTTCGGAGGGGATTTTGAACGTCTCTCTTTAATCCATTCATGAATCAGTAAATGTTGTCAACAGCCAGAAGTCAGTGCAGCATGTTTTAAACAATAAAAAACCACATAAATCTGGATTTTAATAACACAAATGGGCTGGCCAAGTATAAAGGTGAGGTTTCCAAAGTTATCGAGCTGTCAGCATAGCCGATCTTTAAATAAGGTTCCACTTTGCTTTGAAACAAACAGAAGATTTGAGTTAAGTTTTTCATTGTGATCGGTCTGCAGGACAAAAACCTTTGATCTCTGATATCAGCCATAGCTCTTTTTAAAAAGCTGCTCATTTAGCAGCAGATGTGGACATTTTAGCCAAGTGCCTCTTTTTTTTTTCTCTACATGAACTTGACAAGTTCACTTTAATCAGAAACTGAGACTCCGTCTACCTGTACTGAACTCTTTCAGTGTGACAACCCCATATAACTTGCTACTCAATTTCCCAGAAACCCGATCTACTACGAATACGTACAAACATACATTCCTCCTAATCTTGCTCCATCTTTCTTTCTCCACTGTCTCTTGCATTTTAGTTGCCTTACATATCACATATCGGGCAGAGGAGAGCAACTCTATCCGCCCATTTAACTTCATCGCAGACACTCTGGCTGTCACAATCCTCTTGGCTGTTGGAAAAAAAAAAAAAGGTGGAAGATGGGGAGGCCGTTGGAAAAGGGAGCCTGTTTTCTTCATCAGCCTTAACCTTGAGAAAGAGATTAGGGGAAGTCTAGGTCATCAAATCTCAAGAGCTTCTGGTTCACCTCAGACAAACTTTGCTTTTGTCTGCCAGAAAGGGAGCAGTGTTTAAAGCCTCAAACAAGGACCATTATTATCACAATCTGAAACTTTTCCATCTAAGATTTACTGGCAGACGGAAGTGCTTTTTGGATTTGCCTTCTTTATACAAACTTGTGAGTTGCAAATGCTATAACATGCCCGCACAGCTAAATGAAAAAGCCACAAACTGTAACGAATTCAAGAACTGAAATACTGATAAGTTAAAAAAAAAAATTCCCCTTCCCCACAATTTCCTTACTTAGGTCTACTGGTGTTTAGCCATGTTGACATACTTTTATTTGTACAACTTTTTGAAACATCTTTAAGATATGTGCTATCATCTGAATGCAATAAATCCATTCAAATATGCAATTCAGGGTTGTGGAGGGAATTAACCATATCCCAGCTGTCATCAGGCAGAAGGTGGAGCACACCCTGAACATATCACAAGTCTACTGCAGGACTAACACAGAACAAAAGATAACCATTCATACCTATTTTAAAATCATAGGTTAATTTAACATTCATGTCTTTGGACTCCAGGACAAAGACAGAGTACACAGTGAGAACATCTAAACTGCACTCAGAACAGACCATGCCTGGATTTTTTTTAACCCAGGACCTTCACACTGTGAGGTGATGGTGCCAAACACCACATCGCCTAATGTCCCTAATGTCATCGTCTTCAAAAACATTGATATTAAGTATTCTACCATTTTCCTCAACTCCATTTCATGCAAAATATACTGACTGTAGTAAGAAGCGCATCTGTGATAAACTCCAAGTTGTTTTTGGACATTATTGACAACATAATTGGTGATTTTACACTTATGGAAATGATGTATTATGGAATGGGTGTCCTTCTGAATATCCACACACTCAACATCAGCAAATATATTTTGACTTAAATCAACAGCAAGCTTTTCCTGGAAGTTTTCCAACGCTTGGCAGAGGTGTGTTGGTGGCCAGGGAAGGAACGTGTCCTCCGGTTGTTGCAAGTGGCTGCCATCAGTCTCTCCAGAAGACCATCACAGCAACTTTCATGGGGCAAATGGGGCTGGAGGACCAGTCCTCTGCCTAAACCAGGTGGCTGCAGCCTGGCCCCACACTTTGAAAGGCTGGATTGCTAAAAATGGTAGTGCTAGAGAAATTTGTGGGGGGGGGGGGGGGGGGGCAGCTACCGGCCAGGACAGTGAAGTGAGTCTGCTATCACTAGCCGGTGAACCTCGAAACTGCCATCACCCTGGCCAAAGACCAGCTGGCGACCTGTCCGGGTCAGTCATGGATATTCACAAATACCCCATAGTACTGGTGGAAATGAAAGATCGGGGGGAAATGCATAGAGTAACGGCTGCGGTTAGCTGCGGCTAGCATACCCCTTAAATCTCAAAACTGATTGGTTGGGGTTTAGTAGCTCAATAGGGCAGTATGCAGGGCTGCACACACAGCCAATAGGGACATGTGGCGTTTGAGCCGCGTTCAGCTTGCCGGTTCCAGCAATTCGCTACACAGAAGATAATGGCACTATGCAATTCGCCCTTTGATCAAATGATGAGAGCTGATAGTCAAATAGTGCGCCCTGACATTTCCACATTTTGTAATGACAGACCATGTTGAGCGTGTCGTGACACTTGTACAATGGAAGAACACATCTACTTGTTGGTTGCAGAAGAGCCACTGAGAAATGATTTTTTTAGGTGGCTCGTTACAACTCGATGGCTGGTCACCTGGAATAAGATAAGACTCTGGACCCAAAAATTGACCGATTTTACTGGCCAAGAATCTGTTTGGATGTGCGCTGATGTTGTGTGTCCAGTGGTGTCAGCTGGTGAACCAGCTGGCCATTCCAAAGGTGCCTTTATGCCCTTACTGCCCTTAATGGAGGTACCACTTGAGCACATTGGCATGGACCTCATCTGACCATTTTACCGACGAGAAAAAGTAAATCTTTCGTTCAGCTGTTGTTAACTGATCTTGACTTTGTTAATTAAACGTTGTAAACCTGCTTTCAGTGTGTCCTGTACATGAGTTCTTTCAGTAAACCACAGCACGGTGTGTTTTTTGAGCTGATGAAGTTCAGCCAAAACAAGAAACATGCAGCAGGAGACAATAACTTGTTAAAATGTTTGTGGCGAGAATAAGGCACGGCGGGACCACGGAGTATCATTCGGAGCCATCTTTATTTACATCTCACCACAACAATCCCCAAACCCCCGAGTCCCCGTGTTTTTAACTAGGCGGGCGTGATTAAGGATGCCGTGCAGGTGCGTCCGCCCTCCCTGCACGGCACCGCAGACCACGCCCCACCACAATGTTATAAAAGGTACAATTAAAGATTTTCATGGATTTTTCAAGGATAAATGTCTAATTTGATCAAAAGTTCTATATGCCATTTCTGGAGAGAGTGCAGTGGAAATGTTGTCACTTTTGGACTTTGCTACTTGCAGCTAAACATTTGCAGCTAAATAATGTATAATGTAAGCAGAAACTGCAACTGAATGAGGGAATATTTGTCTAAAAACTTAAACTGAACTAGAAGGGTACCAGTGCTCCAGCTTACCATCTTTACCTGAGTAAATCTGTTTGTTGAACAATCTAAATGGTTGATTCAGAAACTTCTGTGACATCAACTTAACTGAGACTCATTACAAATTTCACAAAACACAGTTGAATACTTAGTTAATTAGTTTTTATTAGTTATTTTTGTTTTTGTTGTTACATTAATTTTAATTTAAAAAAAATCAATTAATTAATAATATCTTTATTTTATTTTATTATTAATTTGTTTATTTTTTTGTTGTTCCCAGAGAGCAAGCCAAACACCGGTCCTGACTATCTCTAGTAGTGGTGCACTACTAGTGAATGACCGGTGAATGTGGGGCGACGGTGGCAAGAAAAAACTCCCTCCTGGAGGAAGAAATCTTGGGAGGAACCAGGCTCTCTGGGAGGACCCTTCCTCCTAAGGGCAATACTTACCAGCGGTCTGAGACGACGGTTGTTCCTTCTCAGCACGATGATGGCTCTAACTTGCTTCCACACCCTGTTTTAGAATGAAGAGAAAAATGATTAACAAGGTAATAGGACATTTCAAAATTCTCTCAGCTGCTGTGTCTTCTTACGTTTCTCTTGTAAAACAGGATGTAGGCAGACTGCTGCTGTTCCTCAAAAACTGCCGATCAAGTTGTGTGGAGCACCCGTGCATCATTATAGGTGAGCCAATGATCTGATGTAGACTGTGGGCTCTCCTCAGGATGCACAGAATGACAGATGTAGTGTCCTGAGATCACATTAAGACAAATGAATCCAACTTCTAAAAGTCAACTGATTCAAGCAAACAGTGGTTTGGACTTAGTGCTTCTTAAAACATCAAAAGCTTTTGTGTGTGAGTCCTTCACTCAAAAGTAGCATTTTCTGTTTGTAACAAGTCAGTTGTTTTACCTGATTCTGTGCCTCCATAGTGACTAATGATGCTTATGAGTTCATAACGGCCATCACCCTGAGAAGGAACAAATCCAAAGATCAGTTTCATAAAGTCTGACATCAGTGCGATAATTAAGCTGATTCTCTGAGATGTTCTGCAGTCTGTTTTTACCTGTTTGGATGACACCACCAAGTCCCTCTGCAGCCTGACGGGGTCATTCACCTTCTGAAGCTTGTGGGTTTTTGTAAAGCCAAACCTCTTCAGGTGAAAGATGAGAACTCTGGCAGAAAAGAAAAAAAACCCAAGGTACAAAATAAGAAGAATGAGTGTCAAACACAAACCGAAGATGGGGCAAAATGACTGCTCAAGGGCATAATGTTGTATTGATGTATAGCAACTTGAAATGCTCCCACAAATGGCACTACACATGTAAAAAAATATATATAAGCTCTGGCGGACTTGGTTCTATAGTAGGTCTTAAAGGGTTAAATAAATATCGTCAAATAATCGTGATCTCAATTTCAGTGAAAATAATCGTGATTATCATTTTTGCCATAATCGAGCAGCCCTATTAGGCGCGTTTTTAAGTAATAATCTCTTGATTCATGACAGTTCCTGATGTTCATGAGCCTTCTGTAAAAAGGAAAGGATAAACAGACATTTCTGGTGTTAGATATCTTTGTTCTTCAGGTTTTGAAGAAAGTAGAAGGTTGACGTAGCGCACCTTAAGAGCCGAGCTTCTGAGACTGGCTCTCCACAAAGTCTCCTGACGGCTGACGTCTCTAATGAACTCGTCAGTGTTGAGCAGGCTCTGCAGGCAGGAGTTCATGTAGCAGGTGTTTGCAGTGTTTGGAAACCTGCCACACATACACAAAGTTTACAGTATCAGTGTAAAATAGTTCATTTTCTCCATTTTGACAAAGTGAGCTTTGGTCCTCGTGCACTACGTGTACTCACCCGAAGTGGTCCACAGTCTGAATTTTATTTTCCGTTATTTTTCCATCGTTCAAATGTTTCGCTACACTATTGCAAAAAGGTAAAAACACGAACACACAATTAGGAAAGATGTCAAGACGCTAAGCAGTGTATGTGCATGTATGCATGAGCTTTGAAG